TCATACATCAGATAGTGATACAAATGGATGAAAACTTTTGAATTTGAGGAAAGTTCCCACTAAGTTTTCTAGCATTTAGCAAATAGTCATAATTTTGGTAACTCTAAGCTAAAACAAGAAAGGTTTGTTCTGATTTAACTTGAGACGGTGTCTTTTTATTTAGTGTATTTGGCTTCAACTGTCCACTTTCACAAAGTCATAAATAGTCTTAGAATATTCTGCACAAGTTTGATCCTCTGATTTCTGAGTCATGTAAATATCAAACTCACTTCAACGCCACACACTCGAAATGTATTTTCCTTTGTTTCCAGAAGTGTGTTTCTGTTTTCCTGTGGTTCTTCGTACCTGAGCAGGTGTTTCTTTCTGCTCTTCAGTATCCGAGGCGGGCTCCGGGTCTCGAGCTTTTTCCACCACAAAGGTTCTTTGTTTTTCTTGTGGCTGATGAGTACAAACACATGTCTGAAGCTGCTGCTATGAATTCTGTTACAGATAATACTTTAGGTGCCTTGTGAGCTTTTGGGATGCAGCTTCGTCATACGCAGCTGCTGCATCAAACATGCAGCCAAACCCAAACCTTCCCCCATGTGGTTTACATGCTGAGCAGAGACTGTGTGAAAGAACCGGGTGTTAGGCGCCTGAAAAAGCTTGCATCGTTTACTTTCTGAACCACAAACAAACAATCATTTATTTATGTGTCAGCAAAGCAGGTTTGAACAGAGCATTTGTAAAACTATCTGGATTTATTCTGGCATCTGAAAAACCCTTCAAATGTTCTGCTACTGTATTTTTAAGTATGACTAACATCTAGTATTTACAGCTCTAAATATTTAAATGTTAGAAATGCTATGAATAGGAACATTGTTGTTGAAAAGTCCATGTATATGAGTGACTCCATCATTAAGTGAACCATCATGATACAGATTAATTCCACTCAGAATGGCGTTTTAAAGCCTTGATATGATTATGTTCAATTTACAGCTAAAACACAAGATCAACAAAATAATTTTTAATATGAAAAAAAAAAAGAAAAAAGAAATCGAGCCTGGGCTGAATGAAAAAGAAAAGAAAAAGTTATTTTTCAAAAGGTGTCTTTAATCTGACAAATTGGAAGACATTAATTTATTGGATACATCTGTGTATATTACACAAACTCTTTATATAAATGCATTATATATTAATATAATCTAATTTGCATACCTCTGATTCAGCTCTCTGTCTCATCTGTCTCACCTCCTGATGATACTGTTGCCTGATGAGATCCAGCTGACGCAGATACTCCTACACACACATTTTATTTTAGATTTTTGTACAACTTTTTTTAAATATCATTTTGCACATTAATTTCAGTTAATGCAGTTGTCTGTTCGGTGTCCCACCTGCTGTCCCTCATATTTTCTGTGCAGAGGAAAGTGTTGGTTGTCATGTAGTGCAGCGTCCTGCTCCTGACCGCCTGGTTTCCTGTTACTCTCAGCTGTACACGGCCGCAGACCCTGGAGTCAATAAAAGTCAGCAAGACAAGAAAACAACTGAGGAAAGTCCTTTAGATGCAGCAAATAGTATTTAAATAAGCTTGAAGTTGACAACATTTGTCCCTTTTCTACTTATGATTGTAGCTTTTGATTCAGTGATGCCAGTTTTGAGTTGCATTTATTTTAATGATGTTCATGTGAAAGATTTATTTTCGCATGAATGTAACGTATAATTTATATAACAGCTTATTATATATCTAGATTCTTCAGTACTATCAGTTAAAGTCATGCCAAACCAAACCAAACAGTTCAGTTCTTGTTCAGTTTTGCAGGTTTTCCATGTACTTCTATAATAACAAATATTCTGTTCTGCTCTATTGTTTTCTCTTTCTGTGGCCAGATAACATTTTCATACCCAGAACTATTTCTAATGTTCACTAACTTTAGTATTTTAAACTGCACAAACTGAAGATTCACTCACATCGGCATTGCAAGAGCTTGAAATTGAGACCCATTTCCTGATTATTTCAGCTAATAATTATTTGACCACTTGGGGGCAGTCATAAGCTGCATATAGAGAACTGGATGTTTAGGCACTAATTAAAATACGGAAATAAAAATTAGAGGAAGGTGTCATGGCAAAAGTAACCTAATCTATCTTAATGTAGTAAGTAGCACACTGCACATTTTAAGCCTTTAATCACAATAAACATGCATTATACATGCATAAAACGTGACACATGCTTCATATCTGTGACGGTTAGAGATATTTCATAAAATGGCTTTTATTCCATGATGTTTGGTTCCATGTAAAATATGTTGTGAACAACAAAAACAGTGTAATAAAATGCTACAGATGTCCTTTCACTGAAAGATTCACTTCCTGATAACATTTATTCATTACTCATCACCGTCGACTGTCATATTTATGCATACAGATATATGTCTGTTTCAAACCACGTCCAGGTCTGCTTCTAAATCCATCCATTAAAATAAATTATGGCCTAATATTAGTGTTCACTGTGCTTCCTGAAGGTAGTTGTACATTTTATCCAAAATGTAAAAATCAGAAACCTTATTAGAACAAACACACTCACTGCAGAGGCGGTCGGGTTTAAGCCAACCTGATGGTACGGAGTTTGGTCTTACCAGCTGTTTCTCTGCTCTCAGTTTGTACTGGTTGGCCTCATGTTTCCTCTGCAGGTACTCATTACGAGCTGCAGCCACACTGACAGACACAACAGGTGAAGGTGAAGACGTGTTGCCGTGGCAATGGGAACAAGATAAAACTCACTGAAGCTTTCCATAAGCAGTGGGAAAGTTTGGAAACAACTTATGCCTGCTAGGCATAAAACTGTGGCTAATTAAAGTTGAAGCAAATCTAGATTTGATGTAAATATTACTTCAGACGAATCAGTTTCTTAACAGGAAGTTGTAAAAACACAACGCATATTTTGTTGATCTTTGATGGAAATGTGCTGCTTTTCTGTGCCACTCACAGCTGGTATGGTTCCACAAGTGGACCGTCTTGGTCCCAGTACTGCAGGTTCACATCCAGGACTCGCTCCAGAGCCGCAGGATCAGGAGCTGAAGGTGGAGCAGCAGCAGCAGGAACGTCCTGATTCCTCCTCTGAATGACATCCAGCTGGGCGTAATAGTGCTGGTAATGGATGTCAGGCTGCCTCCCATCCAGCCTGTAGCTAGAAGAACAACATATTCATTTCAGAAGGTTATAAAAATGACTGGTTTGTGACTCTTCTCAGGGCAGTTTTTAATCTTTACCACTTTTCAAACAAAACTTTTAAAAAATATAACGTCCTTCATTGATATATCTATGTCGGTAGATAAAAAAAAACAGGAGTACATTTTTAGATAAATCTAAAAAATTTTCTAGAATTTTTTTTTCCACTTTCAGAAATTCTCAAAAAGTCAAAAATTTTCAACTTTTTAAGTATTTCCGTAATATATTTCATAGATAAAATTAAAAATTTCTGAGTTTTTGTCAGAAATGTACTCCTATTTTCTATCTGCTATGGTCCTGATTTTGCCATCATATATAAAAATATTCTTTCAGTTTCTCAAACTTCTTAGAGGTTAACCGTGATCTGACTATCAGGCGATAAACATTCACTAACACTTTACATAACCAACACAGGCAAAGTTTAATCAGGAGCTGCATTTCTGCTACAAATGTTTTTGATATTCCACTCGGAAAAAAAGACAATTTTGCAATTGCAGTGTTTCCGTTAAAAACATCGCACCTGAATAAACCTGTCCACATAAGTCATTAAAAATCATGGTAAGTTTTTACAAACGTAAACACTTACAAGTGATAATGAGAAAAGATTTTCTAAGCACTTTGAATTGCCTTGTGCTGAAAATGTGCTATATAAATAAAATTAACGTACCTTCCCAAATAGATGTATTGAAATACATCTGTTTCAATATGACTGAAAATTAAATTTTTTTTCAGCATTAAGCACATTTAAGCACAAGTTAAATTTGTGCATTTTTACGGTTTTTGGAAACGCAGCTAGTTTTGAGGAGGCTTTTTAATACCCACTTCTGAATCCCTGCAAACGCTCCGTCTGCGGCTGGTTTGGCTGCTTTTTGATGAAGAGGCTGCAGTAGCACATAAACACAAAGTTAAACCAACAGAAACACAAAAAACCCAGATCCCGGATCAAACAGAGAGCATCGATGCTGCTTCAGCCCTACCTTGTGGGGAGCGGCGTTCACTCTGAACGGCGCTCTGTGGTCCAGTTTAGCAGCCGGTTTCCTGCCTGCTGCCCCCGGCCTCTCTGCTGCCCCCGGCCTCTCTGCTACCCCCGGCCTCTCTGTTGCCCCCGGCCTCTCTGCTGCCCCCGGCCTCTCTGTTGCTCGCGCCTTCTGCAGCTTCTCTGGACGACAGCGGAGAACAAAATGTTTAGCTCTCCGTTTTAGTATATATGCTGTTTGTTGGAGGAAAATGTTAAGAAATAAAACCTATTGAGTTTTCCATCGTAGTGTATCAGGGTCACTATAGATAGAAAAAAGAAGAGTGAATTCCCACCATAAAACTCAGAAATTTTGAGATTCATCTCAGAAATTTTCAAGAAAAAAATAAGCAAATTTCTGAGCTCCAAACGTCAAAAATTTACTAGAAAAAAAAAATCAGAAAATTTGAGATTAATTTCAAATATCTCTCCAAGTTTTTTTTTTTTTTAAAAAAAGGAAAAAATTATTTTGGAAAAAGACTTGGTAAGATTTTGTGTTTTTGCAGTGCACCGTTCTCTTGTGGTACTAAAAGTCTTACTGTATTATTAGTAGTAGTGGATTTCATTTGAAATGTATCCTGAATGTTTTCAAAATGATCTATTGCTGCCAAAACCATCCCAGAGCCGTCGAGGAGAGTAACACTAACATTATCAGAGGTCAATGAACTCTTATTTAAAAAAAACAAAACACACACAGTCGATGAGCTTTCACTCTGTGCTGCGTTACCTGCCGGTTTTGATGCTCCTGTTCTTAATTTAGCAGCGTCTGATGCAGCTGCTGCTCCGTTTCGAGGGGAAGCCGCGTGGTTCAGCTCCCCCTGCACCGTCTGCAAACACCGAAAACCACAAGCACACATGCCACCACTGATAGCTCGTATTTTACATCACTGTTTACGAAAGCCAATAAGAATTTGACAGATTTTATGAGAAGCAGAACAGTGCGGTAACTCTTTGGTATGTTCTGTAGAGGCATTAGAGCTTTTTCCTTTTATAGAATATCAGAAAACAAACAGTATAACAAAGACGAAGGAATGCAGCAGACACATCAGGGATGACACTTTGAAGAAGTTTAAAGCAGAATTAGGTTAGAAAACAACATCCTAAGCTTTAGACGTCTCATGTAGATCTGTTTAATCCATTGTGTGACAATAAAATCCAACTGACAATCTGTGGGAAGACTTGATAGACGATGAACACAGATGTTCTCCATCCCATCTGACCGAGCTGCAGCTTGGTTTGGGAAAGAATGGGAGGAAAAAACTAAGATATCAGTGCAGATGTGGAAAGTTGGTAGAGTCTTGTGGCTGTAGCTGCGATCAGAAGTGACTCTACAAAGTGTCAGTGGACATGAACACACTTCACAGATTTCTATTTGCAAAAATAATAATAATAAAAGAATTAAAGACCATGTTTGTTTTTTCTTTTACTTCACAATTACAGACGACTTTGAACTGATATTTGTCATAAAATAAAGCTTTGCTTTGCACTGGTGCTCTAAAAAACTGATATAATCTATTTGTGTTTTCATTGAAATTATTTTTTTTAAGTGTTTTATTTCTGCCCCTTATTTGTATATTTTTTAAGCAATGCTACCATTTATCATGCACATCCTTTCACTAACATGACGGTTTAAACTACAGTGATCAAACTGAGCCATTACCTGAGCGCTGACGTGTTTACTGACGTGTTTTTCTAAAAATGGCCGCCGGAGGACTGAGCTCACTGAGGGACGGTCTCGAGGGTTGACCTGAAAAAACAAAACAAAACAAAAAAAACAATGTATTTTACAAATATGATACGTTTTCGAGTAATATCTATTCTACTTAACTATTAAATTATGTTGAAAAGTTATGAGTCAGTTTATTGTGCAAGAGACGAGACAACAACCTCATCAGAACCTCTGATGAAATAATACATTTGAGGTAATAAAACTAAGAACTGTGGATTTCTAACCGTGGTGTCTCCAGAGGACAATAGAGAATCACGAGACGCTCAGGATAATAAACAGCTGCTTAAACAGTTTGTGACATTCTGTCATTTACACCTGGTGCTTCTAACTTAATCCGACCTGCTGCTGCCAAAGGCCTTTCGAGAGAGAACAGCTATAATCCCATAACACCGGTTCTTTGATCCCTGAACTGGACAGCAAATTGTGCTGACTTTTATTCAAGTCATAAAATCGGCTCCATGGTCTCTGTGAAATTCTCACTCCCTTCTGTAGGAATGTCGGGTCCAGCTGAGACGGCTCCGATAAGTTAGAAAAAGAAACGGGAAAAACTGTGAAAACTCAAAAATCTCGGACAGAAAACAAAAACATTATTGTTAAAGAAACAAAAACATTATTGTTAAAGCTTTTTCGCAACTAAAGTTCTAGAGTCTTGTATGTTTAACGTTGCTAAAATAAGCTGAAGTTCTAAAATATTCTCACCTTCTAAAATGTTGTGAAAGAGTTAACTAACAACTTCCAGAGGGAATTATATAAACAAGTACTTTACTAAAGCAAAAAAATAAAAATAAAAAATACTATATACTACAGACCAAACTATCACTTCTGTGTGATGAGTCATTTTCAACCTCCTCTGACTCTCATGTCAGGAGCTGATTCTTGTTTGTAGCGGCTCTGTAACTTCACTTGTTCTTGCCGTATCACGTCAACGCTGCAACAAAAGAGACAAAGAGTGTGTCCGACCTTGAAGAGCTGGGTAACCAGCAGACGAAGGTCGTGGGAGTAGCGACTGGGGACAGGTGCGTAGTGGCCTCTGCAGATTTTGCTGACCAGCTGCCTCAGGCTGTTGCCCTCGAACTGTAAGTGGAGAAACACAATTAGTAAATAAGACAGGAGCAAAAAGAAGCTAACGATCAGTTAATTTAACAGCAGTAAATGCATTTTTAAAGGGGCAGCGTTATGTTTGTTCCAGTCAGTCAAGTAACTACGCTACATTAAGTTGCTATAAAAATGCTATATGACTTAAAAGAAATTTGACTTTGTAATTTAATAGATGGATGGATGATGGCAGCGTTAGCTTAGCGCTGATGAAGCGGTTAAAGCTTACTGGATGCCTCAGGCTGCAGAGTTCATAGAGGACACAACCGAGAGACCAGATATCTCTGCAGAAGCAAAAACACAAACAAAAGCAAATATCTATCAACCTCAATCAATTTTCCCTGGTTTTAATTACACCATTTCACAAACATCCTCCCTGTTAACGTCCCACTGAGTACATCTTACACAACGTGACATGCATTTGTTGAAAAAGCGAGCAGTGCATCATCATCTCACACCCTTCCGCTAAAGTCATAAACCTGGAGGGGAAAAACAAAGTTAAACGCAAAAAAAAAATGTCTTCAGGTATTTGATTTTTCTGGCTCAGAGTCAAGTATATGACGAATCTTGACTGTACTTTGACGTTTTGAGGAAAGGATGAAGGCAAACACTTCATGAGGTTCAGAATTATATCCACCTCAAAATGTCGCTGATAAGTTTTCGATAAGTGTCTTGAGCAGAAAGAAGAGGAGGTCAGTTTGGCCTCAGCTTCTCCAAAACGGGGGAACAGAAAAGAGCAGATGAAATAACAGACAAACAAGAAATAACAACAGTTGCTACAGTCCAACTTCAACCAGCGAGCTTCAAAACCAGGTCAAATAGAAATCATTTCTAGGTGTTGTATAGACTGAACAGGCTGAAGATATTCAGTTTATCCCAGTTTAATAAGACAATCTGGACGTGAACAGACATAAAGTGTGCTCCTCTGTACGTGTCTGCACTTGCTGTCAGAATGAAACCCCCTCTGGGTGGATTGCAGCTCTACTAGGTCACAACACCAACATTACACAACCGCGGCTTATTGTTGCTCTCACACATGATCGTCCAACAGAGACAGACATGAAAAGCGACACACTCAGTCAGGGCCACAACTCATCTGTCCACCAAACTCCACCCACGTCCAGTTCTACTGCAGCCGTCGCAAGGGAGCAGAAACTCTGGACTGATTTCAAACAACTCCGCCCTCGTTGTAAGGAATTTTATTCCACAGCTAAAACCCCACAGAAGTGTTCCTGGTGCGTTGGCTTTCATATAAAGAGTGATACGAATGTGTTGGGGAATATATTGTTTTTTCATCAATCATTGTTGTAATAATCTTGTGCCGAATATCAGCATAGAGCAGGAACAACATTTGTTGGCCCTCAGCTGGTAAATTCCCTTGAACCAGCAGCAAAGTGACAGGCAGGCCGCAGCATGTAGAGCGACTCAAAGGTAGAAACAAAAAGTAAGAACAGTGGACGGTACAGTGAGGGCAGAGTTACAGCGGAAGAAAAAACTCAGAGAACCTCAGAGACATTAAGACGGAGACCTCCGATCACTTTCTGTTTCTACTGCTGATCACTGTCAGTTCCCGGGCCGCCGACTCCACATTCTCCTCCAGGACCTCAGATAAAAGGCTGCACTCATCCTGTGGCCAGTTTTGAGAAAGTTTTGGGCTTTTGGGTCCTGACTGCTGTTTGCCATATCGTGTTGACGTTTCTCTGGTGACATGACCATGAAGCATATTTAAATTCAAGTCCCAATTGCACATTTTTAAAACCTTCCTTTATTCCCCTCTAGACTCCTGCATGACAACTGAAGTTATTCATGTTTATTTTTTTAATTTCCAGGCAGATTAGGTTGAAATTCTAAAGACTGTAGATTAAATTCTCAATTACTTTCTCTATCCTTTTCCTGTTTTATTGTTTTTAATCTTAATCTGCCTTGAACTTTACTAAAAAATTACTGAAAAAATTCAGTAATTTTTTTGGTCATGTCTCAAATTTTGAGCTGTTAGCTCAACACTTTTTTAAAAAAAAAAGTTAAACAGAGTTATTATTAAAAGTAATATTATACAAACATTTTATGGTTACAACACTGCAAACAACTGATAACTGAAGGTAACCGACATACGTTTTGTTGTTGTAGGGCCGACTCTCACAGATCTCTGGTGAGAGGTAGTATGGCGTCCCGACACACGTCCTGGCCATCTCCAGGGTGCTAAACGGTAAAACAGAAAAACAATCAGCCCACCCTCAGTTACGCCTCAATACGGCTGAGAGCAGAAATGGCTCTTAGGCTGTAAAGTGTGACATGGTCTCTGGTGTAAAGTATATTTTCAGAGGTATATTTTCCATCACTATTAAAAAGCTATTGACTCTTATGTTTAGCTAAGTAAGTTAGTTTTGTCTCATTTCAAGTGTACCAATATCTTTGCACTAGAAATTAGACCAAAAATACTTGGTAGGATTTTTGCTTTTCCAGTCCCTGGTATAAAGATTTGCTATATTGTCCTTTTTTAATAATTCATATCTACAAAATCGTTCCTTTTCTTGCAGCTTGTAGAAGTACCAAAACAGAATCCCTTCCTTTTCTGCCTTCTACATCCTTATCTGTATTGAGAGTAACAAAAAATATTGTACAGCATAGACAATAATCGCACACTTTATCGTACTACTGAATCTACTGTTGTGCAATCAAACGCTACTAGCCGGCTACCATTTCTACACTCCAGTGTTTACTTGTCCGAGTCGACAGTTTGAGGAATGCTAATCAGTTGTTTGGAGCTCCTCTGTGACTTACGGTGGACTCGCTGACAGGCAGCTGCATCGTGTGTGTGTACGTGTGTGTGAGGATCACACTTGACTTACTTATTCAAAATTCTTGCGATACCAAAGTCCCCCAGCTTTACTTTCATCCCTCCACTGGTTAGGAAGATATTCTAGGCAAGAGGGAGAGCAGGAATGAAAACAGATTTGCGTGCGTGTGTGTGTGTGTGTGTGTGTGTGCGCGTAAACTGATACGACTGATGAAACAGAGAGATGGCTGTGAACAGAAATGCAGTGTGTTGTCATCTTGCTGAGTTATTCTAGCAGCTGGCGCAGAGAGCCGTCTTTGTTCAGAGCAGAACTGACCTCAGGACGGTTCTGCTGTACAACTAAAGAGCTCTGTAATGAAAATGCTTGTTAATTAATGAGCTTCACTCCAGAGACAAGATGTTCACAATATTTATAGACGCAGAGCAATAAATGCTGCACAAATGATCTTTTCCGAAGCGCCACAAAAACTAAATCTGTTTCCTCTCCCTGCCCCCGAGTTTTTCCTGTAACATCAGACATTTCCCCTTGAGATTGATACATTTTAATCATAAGCAATTAAGCAATTGTAAAATTGAACAATAAGTTCAGAGTGTGCAAAACAACATATGAAATGATGTCATCAGGTTATGTCAAGTCCCCTTCTTTCATTTGTCCATCAACTCAGATGTTTCCACAACATGATGCTGCAGTTTTAGTCGCTGGAAAAACAAATTGTTCTCATGTAAGTAAAGGCTGAGACCAAACTGTTTAAAATCCACAGTGGAACTTTGATGAGTTTGTAAATAATGAAACGTTGTATGTGTACAGAGCAGAAGTTGATTTACTCTGAAATCAACTGTTTTTGTTAATTAAATTAAATAAAATTTCATTTGAACATTTTATTGACCTTACTGTGAGTGATGCAGTTTAAATAGACACAAAAAAAACATGGTTTTCTCGTCGTAACACAGAAAAATATCCCTACAAAGCTAAAACCCCTGTTTGTTTGATATAGAAATAGTTATACAAAGTTTTTTTTTTTTTTTTTTAAAGTGTTTCAGTAATCTTTAGTTGTATTTTTAGTCTTTCTTTTCGGCGTGTTTCACCTGAGATTTGATGTCTCTGTGAAGAATCTTCCGGTCGTGGATGTGCTTGAGGCCCAGGCAGATCTGGATGAACCAGTCCACAATCTGAGAAACACAAACTTCACTTTATTCTTCTGTGTCTGACAGGGAGCCCAGCCTTTGGTAACATTCAGGCTCAGGTTTCAGCTGAGCTTCGGGTCAGCCGCTACCTGCGCCTCCGAGAAGGGAATTCCTCTCTGCATGTTGATCTTCTTCAGCAGGTCTCCGCCATCGCAGTACTCCATCACTATGTACAGGCTGCCCTTCTCTGCACACGGAAAAGGTTTACAAGTGGTTCGTTTCTGACAGGACAGGAAATGAGCACCTAAATCTACTAGAGATATGATAAATGTATGGCTGCATAGTGGATCAGTGGGCCTATAAAACGCTCTGGAAGGACGATCTGCTCCCACCTTGAAATGTCGTGATGAAAGAAACGATGTTTGGGTGTTTCATCTGTGACAGCAAAGTCACTTCTTTCTTAGAGGCTTCTTTCTCCTTCGCTGACATCTGAACAACAAACACACATAGTCAATGAGACGGCTCTAAAAGTGAATGAAACTATAAGAGAGATTTTTTTAAATTGGTTGGATTTTATTATATTGTACAGACATTTTTTTTTGAGTCCAACATATTTCATAGGTTTAGAGGACGCAAAGTCTCTTCCTATTTTGTAGCTTTTCTATTTTGTTCCAAGAACGTGAAAAACTTTCTGCTCATTTTAATGCATATAAAGGGACAATATTATGTGTTTTGCAGGCATATAGTGCTATTTTATAGCATAATCAAGTAACTGTTAATATCAGTTGTTACAAAACTGCTATAAATATCAAATATGACTTAAAAGAAATTTGACTTTGTAATTTAACGTCTTGAAATATCTTAACTCTAGATCTTTTTGTAATTCCACCTTCAGGAAGTTATCACAACATGGCTCCTCTATTAACCCTTTAACAACATTTTGAGCAGCACTCCACTGAGAAGTAGCTCCTGTAAGCTCAGCAGATACACAGTTCTACTGGGTGTTTGCTAATTGCTGCTGGCTAGTCTGAAGGAGCCGAGTGAGGAGGACTGGTTTGTGAGGTGGAGGCTCGGTAGTTTGTAAACAGCAGCTGCGAGGAGGAGCTGCATCTCGAAGGCAGGGCTAGGCCCACCCAGATGTTTATCCCAGCTGAATGGTTGCCACGGGACATTGAAGGATTTCTCAAACATTAGTCAAAGAATTAAAGCAAAACTCCAGGTATGTTTTTGATGAGGAAATATACCATGACAGAAAAGCTCAAACTGGTCGATTTTACCTAATACTGCCCCTTTAATGCATCTGAAAGAAATCCTTGCTTTATTTCAAACTCCAAAGACAATCAGAAAAACAAAAATATTCCTCACTGTATTGATAAAATTAGTGATATTTGGTAAGAGATGTTATGTTATTGTAAAATCTGTGAGAAATCTCTGTTATTTTTTAAGTAGATATTAGAATTCATTCAGTAATTTTGATCTTTCTTTTGTTTTGGATGTTATAAATTGTTCACTTTAAACATGTGCCACTTGTGGTTTCCCCGAGCAAACTGGTCTGCGTTCCTGTACCTTCCTCAGACTGATCTGCTTCACCACGCAGCTCCTGTCTCCATCTCCCCGTTTGTCTCTGACGAGCAAGGCTCTCCCAAACGCACCTTCTCCGATCTGCCGGATAACCTCATAGTCATTCATAACACCTGGAAATGCTGCCACGCACACAACACAGAATAATCAGCGAGGTGTTAGCTGTGCCAGAAACAAGCTGCAAACCGTTAGCTGCAGCATTTTTACGTTTTTTTCTCGCTGTCTGCAGTCAAATCAGACCGAAGTTCACTTGGTTTTGGGTCAGTTAAAATACCGACTGAGCCAGCCCACCCAGAACCCAACCAAAATTATTTATATCTTCTAAATCCCACAATATTGACAGAAATAATACGTCAAAGATTTACTTATTATTCAAAATCAGAAGTTTACATAGAGAATGAACGGGGGAAAGCCCGGATGTTGATGTCATGGCTTTGGAAACTTCTGATAGGTTAACAGACACATTTGAGTTAATTAGAGAGGCGCACCTGTGGCTGTATTTATTTTAATGTCACAGCTGAGCGAAGCACACCGTTTTCTTGTATCACATGAAAAGTAAGAAGAAGGCCGGCAAGATGTGTGTGTGTATATCACACTAAAAGTTTGAGTTGAGTTCCCTTTTCAGTTCAACATGTCGGTTGCCATGGATACGGCAACACAGTTAGCAAGTTGACTACACTTTCTTTGTCCGGAAGAAGAGCTTTCCTTTTTAACGCTTTTAAATAAATAAGTTTACTTACGGGTATGGAACCTCACAGATGCAGTACAGTTAACATAGCTGAGAGAGAGAAAACAGCAACAAGTTGAAAAGTCGCGAGACGTCACAGTAATGTCCGTAAAAAAACAGTACGGCAGGCTAGAGAAGGTGCCGCAGAGGACACTGGGAGCTGTAGTTGTTTTCACGCTATGAGTAGAAAACTCGATTCCCTTCACAACAGTGAATTTCAAGATTTGTTAAAAATCTTAAAATATTACTTTTAATAATCAAAAAATATACATTTTCGTGGTTAGAAAATAATGTCTTTAAACGTCACTAAGAACTATGGTTTTCCTCTTTTTCAAAAGGAAACTGATACGACACAGATACGTGACACGCCTTCACCAAAGTGACACAGAAGTCTGAGTCTCTCCTCTCCCTACTCTTTAAAGCCGATGTGCAAAGGCACAGCGGTTATTTAAATCCTCAGAACAAGAGTAGGGATTTGGAGATTCATTCGCAGCTCATTTTGCCGTTGTCACATTCAAGTCAGAATAAAAACCCGTTTGAGCTCTCAGGTGTGTTCATGACCTCCACAAGGTCAGCTACTGCACCTGTAAAATGTTCAAATAAATCCTCCGAGACTGTTAAGATTGTTTTCAACGTTCAACGGAGAAAAAAAAAATCTATGCAACTTTGAATGTAAGAAGACAGAAACTGCATGTGGTTCTTTATCCATTGCTCTAACTAAATATGCTTACCTTATTTTAGACTGCAAGGAAATGAGGAGTGGCTTGGTATGACATTTACAATATCAAAAAAAAGATTACCTTGAGCAAATATAACAACATTAAAGTAATAAAACTAGTTTCTCATACAGTGGTGTGAGTAAATGTAATGCTTCAGTGTGGCGACTCCCCCCAAACTGTGATGTGAAACCCTCCTCTGTACTTTCAAGGTGACCCGTCCATCTTAACTCCTGGTTCTTTTCCCATGATCCTCCTGTGTTAGGGGCTGTGAGTGAGACTTTAATCACAAATGAATTTCCACTGCGATCAAATGACATGAGCAGTGACAGCTGATCCTATGTCCATACCCTGACAGCACCCATACAACATTTAGCATGATGCTGTGTGTGTGAGAAGAAATATAGTTAAACCACCATTAAATCAATCACAATAAATTAAAGACAACGCAGACTGCTGGGGTTTTTTAAATCCATTTTTTGGTTTATTGAGTTGGTCTGTTTATTTAATTGAAGAGCTTATATACACAAATTAGTACAAGAAAAACAACAAAAAAAAAGTTATCAAAACTGAGACTTTTAGAGAAAAAAAAACATTTGAAAAAGACTTTAACATAAGTGTGCTTCCTGCTAGCCCTTACTCCTCTGGGTTTCCCTTTCCACTTTTTGCCTGTCGTTTCCAGAGTTAAAAAAAAGAAATATGGTTCTGTAATCTCCCATTAAGAATGTATTCCAGACAATTGGTGCAGCATGTTATTAACTACCGCAAACATTAATAAAAAGTCTCTCTAGAACTGATTCTGGTTTTTGAGGTTCGAAAACCAGAATCAGTTGTACAAAAGATGCCCTGTCGCCCAAGGTTTTCATATTTAAACTGAAAGAACTGCAAATAACAGATGTACCCATATCTATGGAAGCAAACTGATGCTATTTTCTGCAGACGTTTTGATTAAAATAATTTATACATGGAAATTCGGCTAAGCATTATAGCTTCCTAGATGATTCCCAAGCAGAAAAAGAAACAGAAAATAATAAGCTTTTACCTTAATTAACATTCAGTAGATATTTACCACACAGCTTCACATTTCACTCCTCTCTCTTGCTCAAAACTCTTTATTGCAGAACAGAAAAACAGATAGGTGACGATGAAGAAACACGACCTCGGCTGGTGCCTGCGATTTTAAGAGCTGCGGTCGAGGCGTCTCAAGGCTCGCAGATCAAAGTCTCCACCACAAACTTGTTCTCGAAGTGACGAATCTTGTGGCAGTTGAGAGCTTCGCGCTTCTGCATACCTGTGAGACGGCACAAAGGTTCTTCGTTACGTCGCGTAAACGGCACTTTGGATCCTCCGCTAAGTTAATGCGGTCGCCTTGGAAACGTATTCCAAGGCCTTCAGTTTTCTCCACATCTAATAGTTTTTCAAACACAAATTTTATTGTGTTTTCTTTGGATTTCTGAACAGCACAAGTAAAGTTAAGTGGAAGGAAAAACTTTGTAGACAGAAACAACTGTGACCTCCATTTGTATTCAACCCCTTTTTCCTGATGCCCTTTAACAAAAATACCACAACTGCCTTCAGAAGTCATGTGCTTATTAATAAGTGTGAAAAAAAAGAAAAAACAAACACCAGAAACAGTTCTGGTCAAAGTACAGTCTCTTGCTATAGTTGCCTAGTCAAAGGCCAGACATAAATCCAATTGAAAAACGGCAGCAAGACTTGAAAAAAAATAGTTGTTCCTGGATACCGTTTATCCAATCTCTAACAGATGAACTATTTTGAAAAGAAGACAGGAAGAAAACCAAAAAAAATGTAAATTAAAAGCTGAATACATTCAGATTTTATTAATGTTCTGAGAGATTTTCATCTAGAAATGCCTGGCAATTAATTTTTTTGTCCACAACAATCTGGTGCCGTGACCTGGATCTCTCGACTGGACACTCGAGGACGGCGATGCTCACAGTGCTGATTTTTTTTTTTTTTCCCCACAACAAAAACGTGTTGAAAACTATCATTTCCTCCCACTTAACAGCTACACGTGGCACAAAATCCTAAAAAAATACAGTCAAATGTGTGGTTGTCAAGTTTGAAAACATTCAAGATGTGGAATTCATCTGTGCTTAAAGTTCATTTACCTGGGAAATGGTTCAGTATTTTGTTGGTGTGTGTGTGTTGTTGTGTTATGTGGAAAAGCTACACACCCAGAATTGTGTCTCTGCGCTGCAGCTTGAAGGTTTCTTTGTCGTGGCAGAGGTTGTAGATGAAGTACCCAAGCTGGTCGACGTTCTCAAGGCGCTCCGTCACCATCATCTCCTCATGGATCAGGTACGACTGGGGCAGGTAGGAGCCAGCCTGGCAGAGGGGAAAGACATCTCTGTCACAGAGAAATCTTTTTGTTTCAAAATATTTCTTCCTTCTTCTGTTTTATTCTGCAGTAACAGACTAAAGAATGCCAACTGCCACATCAGAGCCGTTGCAGATAGGAACAACAGGAGGGGCAAAAAAAACTTCAGAAAAGTTCTAGAAACATTTTTTAAATTTCTGAGAATCAAAAGTTTAAAACATTCCACTTTTAAAACAGAAATTTCCAACAAAGGAATTTTGAGATTAATCTCAAAATTTTTAGTTTTTTTTCCAAGCAAAATTTTGACTTTTTAAACTCGGAAACTTTCTTGATTTCTTAATAATTAAATTCCTAAGATTAATCTCAAAATTTCCGTAACAGGCTGTCATAGATTAGTCATGACATCCTGGAATCAGCTCTTTTTTTTGAGGCCACATTTCCTTTAAATTTGCTGTGCATGGAGAACAACATTATATATCTCCATTACTTTGCTTGAGTGTTGTAAGAATAATGTGACGCATGCATTCCTTTGGAATTGCGAATGCTGCATCAGGCCTTATTTAACATTAAGGGGAGAAAAAATGCTGTCTGAATATCTGTTCCAACATGTCAGGGCATTTTGAAAACGCTACAATGTCACAAAGACTTAGATCGTTTTTCATTCAGACCAACTAACAACAAACACACGTCGAGTTCCCCGAGAGGGAATCAGCCTGGATTTGCGTCACAGACGGCTGGCAGGAAAACCTTGTGGTACCTTGACTTTGATGAGCAGATCCAAAAGATCTCTGGGAGGCATGACGATGGAGGTGTTGAGTGGGATGACGTAGCATTTGTTCAGGTTCAGATCCAGGTAAGCGGTCAGCCTCTAGGAGAGGAAAAAACAAAACAAAAAAAAACATCACGTTCAGCACTTCTCCTTCAAATTTTCTGTTCTCTCCGAGTTGTCAGCTTCCTCACCCTCTGGAAGTCGTGGACGATATCGGCAGGGTCTCCGTCTTCGAAGTCTGGCACGGGCACGTTGATGAACTCCACCTGCTCCCGCTCCAGCACTCTGATCTTCTCTTCCAGCAATCGCTGGAAGTTCCTGTTTGGCATCTGTGGACCGCACCGGTACAGGAATCAACACGGTCGCTTTGAAATAAGGTTTGCCTGGGAGCTAATTTTTTAAAAGTTATTTCTAAAGAAAAAAAATAACTAAATACCTTTAGAACATGTGAATAAGCTAATATGGAGAAAATGCAGTTTTCACAAACCTCCTCATCAGCGATCATGTAGTCCTCCTCGCGGTAATTCACACCACAGAAGAAGACCTCATCTTCCGGCTTTGGTAAGAGAGAAAAAGAAAACATTTATAGAAACATATTGAGATTTTTGACACATAAGCACATGTCGCTGCAGACATGTCCATCCGTTTAGCGTTCATATCAGGATGAAAATGTTTCTAGTTCTAGTTGCGCTTTTGAAACAGAGCAACACATATTTTAAGCTTTGCTGACGTGCCGTCAACACCTACTTTATGAATTGTTTACATGTTAATGGCGTATAACATTTGGACATCTATTGGACGTGTAAACATCATGTCGATCGTGTGTTGTGTAAACGTCAAAGTAATGTGAAATTTCCACATGTACATGACCAGGCTGGCATTCCATAAACGACCCGGCAACAGTGAGCGAGGCCAATGCGCGATTCAAAGTGCCGACTATGAACCTAGCAGGTCGTTGCTAGGTAACAGGAGAGTGAGTGAGTTAGTTGATGTCACCCACCTTTCCTAGCTAGCTGTGCAAGGTTGAGTAGCTAAAACTTTCCTTTGCCTACATCCCGCAGAATGTTGTGCAGCTCTGGATTCAAGTTCAGTGAAACTATTGACTATTTTCTATTGATCGTGTGTCTATCCCAACAGATATCGTTGTTGTTTCATCGCTCAGTCCTACTGTATGCCCACTTATCCATACGTTGGTGTTTAGCAAGAAAGTCCTGGATTGGAATCCCGACCTGGGTTCTTTCTTCATGGAGTTGGCATGTTGACCCTGTGCCTGCGTGGCGTTCTCTTTCTGCACTCGAGCTTCCTCCCACAGACCAAAAACATGACTGCTAATTGGTCTCTCTATGTTGCTCATAGGGTGTGTTTGTGTGTCTCTGTGTCGCCCCGCTTCTCACCCAATGACCGCTGGAAATAGACGCCAGAACCCAGCAAGGATAACCGGGTATATAGACAATTGTTGGAATGATGGTTGTGTCACCAGACCCGTCTTCACACCTAAACTCTATGGAAACCCGTGTGGGGTGAAGAAAAGACACAGTATCCCGCATATTTTTGTTTC